CTCTGCCCTGTTTGTTAACGCTCTGGAACTGTTGCTGTACTTAAGCGCTCCTCTCATTTTTCCCTAGATCATAGGCCAGGTTTATGCTGACCCGGACTGTCTCCCACGCACACTGGATTTTGGCCTTAATGTCAAGCTGTTCTGGGAGAAGTTTGTTCCTGCACTTTTTCCCTCTGGCTGCCATTTGCTGCAGACTGGAACCAGAGAGCAGGTAGGTTTGGGGTTTGCAGGACTCCTCTTTGTAAGCCTGGAGGATGTGTCTGTATCCCCTTGGTGGAAGGATTGCTCTGCACAGAGGGTGGAACAGGGCTGTATTCCAACCTTCTGTGGGAATGCTCAGAGGCTTCCACATGAGGAGAGACTAAAGACTCATCAGCTTGGGAGGGAGACTGCTGTATATGGTAGAGGTCTCTGAAACAATTTCTGAGGCAGAGAGGGTAAAGGAGGAGTGATTGTTCAGGGTTTCTCATGTACAAAAAGTAAGGGCAGACTTTGGCAGCAGCTCTGAAATGTGAATACTTCATTTGATTTCAGTTGTGAAACTTGTCGCTTCAGAACAGTGTTGATACCAAGTAGGTTCCAAAAGAGCCGGACCTCCCTGGTCATTGGCTGTAAAAACGGGTAGCCCAGACAGATGGGATCTTTGCAGTCTCAGAAGCTGAATGGGGAGGGACCATGTCCCTGCTCACACCTCTGTGCATGGGACAGTAGCCTGGATTGAAAACTGGCTCAGCCTTTCCAGATGCTGTTCTGCTTCCTCTTTCCCGCTCACATTTCCACACTGCTGCTTCTAGGCCCCCTTTTTCCAAGCTGGAAGATTCCTTTGAAGCGCTCTCTCTCTACCTGGGAGAACTTGCCATCCCCCTCCCGTCTGAGCTGGAGGAGCTGGACCACAACGTGAGTGTGCAGTATGGACTGAACCGTGACAAGCTACCTGAAAACACAACCTAGTCAGCTCGTCCTGCTGCCTGCACCACTTCCACTGGAGTTGAGATGAGTGACAGGGAGGGAGATGCACTTCAGCCACTTCCAGGGCATTAATGGGCACCACGCTGTGCATTTGCTGCATTGCCTCTCTCTCCTCACCCATCACCCCTCCTCTTGGACATCCTGATTCACTGTGGATTTCTGGCATGTTTCAGAAGCAAAAAGGACTGTTTCCTGCCAACTGCACCTAGGAAAGCTGCTCAACACTATTTTTCTGGCTTGAGAAATGTTTCTCTGGCCTTTTCAGGCTTCTTCACTGTGGTGCCTTAGAACTTGGCTGCAAGCTGTGAAGCCACCCTGGCCTGTCTGCCAGGGAGGGAATTGCTATAAGAGACTCTCCTGCACAAGGACCAGCACTTCTGGAACTGCTTCTCCCACTGACTACCCTGCTCAGAAAGCTTGGGAATTGGACAGCTGGCAAAAGGCCCCACCAGGACAGCATGTGCGTGTATGTTTGTGCATGTGTTTTCCAGAACAACCCACTGAGATTTTGGCCTCCAATGTGCATCAAGGGAGAGAGTGAAAAGCCCCAGGAATTGGGCCGCTCTCCTGACATACGTTGTCTGTGGGGAAGCGTGTATGAATTTTTGTTTTAGTTTGGTTTTGTGGGTTTTTTCCTCTTCTGTCTCTGAATACCTCCAAAAGCCTGCTTATAAACACTAAGACTGAGCTCTGCTTGCCCCTGCCGATGGTGAACAAAGCAGGCAGCAAATGAGCCACTTGAGCGTTTTCAGACCCTGAGCCTGCACAGTGAGCGTGCCTGCCCAAGAACCGTAACCTAGGTGAAAGTATTTGAACCTGAATGTGTAGAACTGCACTAGGCACTGGCTGTGGACATCCCTGGAGTGCTGAAGCTGCTTGAGCTCTTGGCCTGTGCATGTGAGGTGACAGAAAGGGTGGCAGAAGGTGCTCTTCAGAAAGCCAAAGGTCTGAAGTGGCTCAGACACTGTGCATGGACAATGGCAAAGGGGGACATGCCCAAGGTTACTTAAAGGATGGACTTGTCATGAACAGAAAAGTGCTGGAGAATGTCCCATCCTCCCAGGAGTGGCAGCTGGAGAACTAATAATTCAGTTGCCATTACCTCATCCTTTCCTGCAGGCTGTGCAAGTTGCCCTTTGAAGGTCCTTCTTGCAGCTGCTGCTGCAGCACCTGAGCTGATTCTCCAAGCAGAAACTTTCCTCAGGGTCATTCCCTGCTTTTGGGGAGAAAAAAGGGCTTGGAATCATTGGGAAGTGGGTGGGGGTGTTTTTTCTTCCAGCACTTCTTTTCTTGCTCCCTCAGTGGGAGAAGGAAGAAAGCTACTGCTGCAGTAGCTCATGTGGTTGGCAGAACTGAACAAAAAGCTGGCTCAAGTCCTGCTCTTAAGTTTCACAAACATCTTGGTTTAACTGGATTTTTAGTGTGCTCCTTCCTCCCCCCCGTCCCTTCAGTATTGAATGGTGGGGAATGGGTGTTAGTCTTTGCTGATACTTTGATTTCCTCCCCCTACCCATGAGTTTAAAGTATTACGTAAAATAACATGGGACCAGCCATCACCTGACAAAAGGTGTGCATGGGGCGGTGTTTTTAGTCTGTGTAGTGGTGTTTTAGAAACACTGGGGACTCCCTGTGCTGTGAGTCAGTGGAGGAGCCTCTCTAAACTGGGTCCAGTGGATTCAGGATTGTTAATAGGATTTGCCCTTTCTTCCCCCTCCCAGGCTGGTTTATGAGGGGACCCTTGAAGGGGAGAGTCCTGGGTGATGTGTGGGTGGGATTTATGAACTGTGATTTGCACAGCTCCATGTTCTAACTAAATTAAAAAGCAGTAAATGTATGCTATGAAAACAAGATTTTGTTGTCTTTGTGTTATATAAAGCAGGAAGCTTTTAACTTTCTCGGATTTCTGTTGTTGTCACAAAATGGCAACATCAAAACTGCACAGATCAGGTATTATCTAGAACTCCCCTTCTTGAGCTAAAGGGCTCTGCCACATTTACAAAACTATAAAGATGCAGTGCAAGTGCTCTATTGTACTATTTACCTGGAGTGATTGAAGAAGATGTCAAGTTTTGTTGGTTGGTGGTTGTTGGGTTTTTTTAAGGGTGGACAGGAGTCAGCAGAACATGCAGCCTCTCTCCATTTTCCTTTTCTGATCCAGCGATAAAAATACAGCTTGTTCTTAGGAACCTCTTACTCTGAAATATGTAGTTCAAGGGGCATTTGTTAAGGCAACAACTGAACAAAAATGCTGGTTATGTGAGTGCCTCCTGTAACCTGCCGTGCTCTGTCTCCATCATGCTTTCCAATGCAAGGCCCCGAGGGATGCAGCTGCTGCTAAGTGGCACCAAAGCAGAACTGACCTGTGTCAGTGCAGGAAGGGGCTGTAACTGAGAGCATCTCCCACGGGCCAGCCTGCTTAGTTAGCACAGCTCACGCACCCGCGGCTGCTTTTCAGGAGCAGTGTCCCAGTCCAAGACTGGGAGCAAGGAGACAAGATCCATGCCCCTTGTCAGCTGGTGAGTGGAGGCACTGCTTGTAGGGATTTACTTCTGGGCCTAGCAAACTGAAGTGGCATCTTCCCTTCTCGTCAGTTCGAAGTCTGCAACAAGCAAAAGCATGCTGCTCTGACAGGAGAAATGTACAGATGAGCCACAGTCCACGCAGGTCTACAGAGCATTTTTCTTTTAAGCTTTAATACAAGGTAGCACAATCTGCACCTTCTCATAATGAGGTATTTAAAACATTTTACAAAGAAATGGTATTCAAAGGCATTTAAAAATAAAATGTTTCCCTTTTCTGAATCAAACATTAACACTAAAACCCCTGCTGCCAAGTGCTGCTCCCTGTTAGGCCCACAGCTATAAAGCAGATGGCTAGAAAACTTACTTGAATGGCTTGAATCCCCTGAGGTGGGGATGGATGTTTCCCTGAACTGGCCTTGCCTTGGTGCCATTTGGGAGACACTGCAACAACCATCCCTTCCAAATCCCCTGAAATGCTAATAAAAGTTATTATAAAACCTCTCTAATAGGGCTAGGCTCTGTAAGCAAGTAGTCCTGCTGCACAAGCTGAGTGTGTGTGAAGGAGGCTGGGCCAGGATAACTTTGAGATCTTGCAAGAGCAGCTGCCCTGTCCTGCCCTTAGAGCAAGAGCTGCTGCATCACGGCCAGGGTGACCTCCACAGCTGGCTTGGCCACTCTGTTCAGAGCTGGCTCTGTAGAAAGCCAAGGGAATTCAGAAGAGGATGTTATCTATCCTCAGTGCTCAACCTGCTGTAGGGCAGTTTGTTTTCTTCACTCCACAACTATCTACTGCTGGCCTTTGGTCTCCTGATCCGTGTAAGTGAGCAGGAGGCACAGACCACCTGGACACCTACAGCTGTAGCTCTGCGTGTAGCACCACAGGGGAATGGAGATGTGGCCTCAGCCCTGGAAGACCTGGATTTGTCAAGAGCTTGAGAAGAGCTTTTCCAAATTGACACTGGGGCTAAACATACAGCTCCTGGCCAAAGCCATCCCTCAAATAAACTCTTCCTTGGAAAAAAAAACTGATCCAGTAGCAGGATTCTGGACAGTGTCTCCTGCTCTCAGCCACTAATGCAAAAAGGCAGGAACTATAATTAGAGTGTAATTATCTAGCTAAATCTGATGTGAAGCTCCCCTCAGTCCCTGCAGTACTGCTCCCTCCTGGGGTTCCAGGCTGAAACTTAAGTTAACAGTGCACACTGTTAAATAGGAAAGGAACACAAAAAGAGGAAGCCAAGACCACGCTCTGGGCTATGGGATCTGTGGCCAGTTGTGAGCCTGGCTCATCATCCCCCCCAGCTCCTTGGCACTCCATGGAGATAGGTGGGATGAAGCAGCAGGGTCCACCATACCAGTCCCCAGCTGGTCATGTACTGAATGGTGTCCCTCAAACAGATTGTGATGAATAGCCCATTGCTCTGTCCCTCTGCATCACCTTCATCCGGCTTTCATCAAAAAGAAAACAAAATAGAAATGAACACACGCAACCCCCACACTCACAGTGGGAAGCTGGAGGCTTTGCTCAGCCTGTATCGCTCCTGCCTGAGCTGCTCAAGCACCAGGAGTACCCGCCTGCCCCATGAGCGGGCCACTGCCATCGTGTGTGTCCTCCACAGGCGTCTGGTTGGTGTGCACCACGATTGTGTTCTCATCTACAAGCTCGCAGGCAGGATTGGTGAACGCCGAGAGTGGCAGTGTGATGCGCTGCATTTCACGCTCATAAACTTTCTGTTCATGCTTTTCCTTCAGGTCTTTCCCCCTAGATAAAAAAAACCAAAACATCTATGTGCATGGGGTGAGTGCCACTGCTTGAAGGCAGAGTCTCAGTAAAGGTGATATAGTGGAAAAGAAGGGACTCCGCTCTTTAAGAAACAGATGTTTCAGCTACATACAAAGGGCCAAAAACATTCCCTACTGTAAACAGAGGACCCCACGTGAGCATCTTTAAAAAACAAGCAGCCAAGTGAAGTCTGTCCCTCCCTCATAAACGGGCTTATTCACTGACATTGCTACAGCTAAATGATGACTGTAAAGCCAGGCTTCTCCTTCAAACCATGGAGCTGACAAATGTTTGTAGTTCCACAGCACTGCCTGGTGCAGGCCCAGAGGAGCAGTGAGACAGCGCGGAGCCCACTACTGTGGGAAAAAACTTCCGTAACGTGCTTCATCGCATAGAAACAAATACCAGAAGTGGTGACAGATTCTCCTTTTGTTGCATCAAACCAACCTGTGTAGCAAATTAAGCTGTTCCTGAAAGTATTAAAGCTTACTTCAGAGCGGGCCCTGCCTTCTGCCACTGCCACTGACAGCTTAATCCCACAACCAGCTCCTCAAACCTACCTCACTCTTCAGCCTGTTGCTAAGGGAGGCGACACCCCTGTAATTTGTACTGAGGAAGAACTGCCTTGCTTTAAAAATGGATGGCATTAATAGCATGTTGTCTCCAGAAAAGCTATGTATACCAAAAGCTACTAAACCCATTAAAGGCTTCTCACCACACCTACCCAAACCTGCCAGCTTGCACATGCAATTTTGAGAGCAAGGCAAGGAGAGAGAGAGACAGTAAACCTGCTCTGCAGCCCTGTTGTGAGCTCTCTGGGATTGAAGAAGCAAAGCTGCATTTGGACAAAGCTCAATGTTGGTCTACTGCTTCTTCCTGCCGAAGATAGGAGTGAGGTGGGACAGGCACCACTCAGTCCTCCTGGGGCTTGTGATCCCAACCAGACAGAGCTGCTGGGGTTTCCTGTCAGCACATAAGCATTTTGGCTGCTTTTCAAAGCTGCCTACAAGTGTGCAGTAGTGGCTGCCGTTCCTGCCAGCGTTCTCTGAAGTGACACCTCAAATCAGATTCCTCGACAAGCAGCGCTCTGTGTTTTGCCCTTATGTAACACTCCTCCGTTTTTTTTCTGTCGGCATTTATTATAAACACTTACATA